AACTAACCACTAATAATTTTATTGTGGTTCTAATGGCGCATGAGAGCAATTTTCAACTGGGAGTCAAAGAACTGTTAATGCAAGATTTCCTCGATTTTGGTTTCTGCGTCAGTCTTTGATTGGTCTAGAAGACAAAATGCAACTGGTCACTGAAACCACATGCAGCTTGCTCACTTGTAATTTTCTGTACAACTCTTGACAGTTTGCCTGATTGATTTTACCTTGAGTTTTCATTTAGCACCTTTTTATGTTTCCTTTTGTTGTGATTGATGATTGTAACTTTTTATAATCAAAACTCACTTTAGTTTTTTCCTTTTTTTTCCTCTTTCACTTGAAATGTGCTCTATTTATGACAAGTTGTGCTAGTTATTCAAGACATCATTACTTTACTAGATGTATCATTTTGTCACCAGTTTTAAGACATGGACATTGGACAATATTTGCATTACTTAGAAAAAGTGTCTTCCTGGTTTTTAATTGATTTGCTGGTACTTAACTAATTTGTTTTTATTTATTAGTTTCACAGACGTCTTCTTCAAAGAGAGGTGCCAATGGTTCCCAGGCTTTCTTTTGCAATTTGTGATGTCAGAGATGTAGCTGCAGCACATATAACTGCCATGATGTCACCAAAAGCTCCTGGTGAGAATATCATCAAAGCAGTAACAGTTGTATTTGTTACCTTTGAAAATAAATCATCAACACTTTTAAATAATTAATGTCAATGTGCCTAAAAACTGCAATAATTCTTTTATGTGCAAACTCAAACTTAGAAGTTTAATTCCACAATGAGCCCATCAGATTCAGATGGTAAAATAAAGTGCATAACATTTCATAAAATAATTTTGTTTGGTTGTTAGGTAACAGATATATGGTCATCACAAAATCTATGTGGATAGATGAAATGGCAAAAATTCTGGATGAAGAATTTAGGCCACTTGGTAAACCTCAACATTTTTTTCAAAGTTTAGTATCATGTCAGCTTGTTATCATTTCCCACCTTAGAAAAAAAACCTGTCAATCTTCTCCAATGTAGTTTACAGTGGGCTATTAGAAATATTAATGAAATTTCTAAAAACATATTTGAAATATATCTTTAAGGCTTTCTTGTTTCCTAATCAGTGCTTATTTTTTTGTTCATGCATGAGTTGCACCATCATAGTGGCTGAAAACGTGTTGAGAAATTTTTGCCTTTTAAGCATCATTTTTACTCAAGGGATGTATTGTTTTACTGATCATGAAATTAACATAATATTTTGGAATACAATTTGAGTGTCATCACAAAGTCTCTACACAATAGTCACAGTGATTTTATTTTAATTTTTTTGTTAGGATACAAGGTGCCAACAAGAGTTGCCCCAAAGTTTGGGTTAAGATTACTTGCTATGTTTGATGATTCAGTTAAAATGATTCTACCTGCTGTTGGAAAAGAAATCAGAATGGATAACTCAAAGGTAAGGGGTTTTGCAAAAATATTCCAAACTCCCTGGCTATCCATTGAGCTAACCGCCTCCAGGTTAGCTCAATGGATAGAGCGCTGGACTGTTGTGCGGGAGGTCGAGGGTTCGAGCCCAGGCCGGACCAACACTCAGGGTCTTAAAATAATTGAGAAGAATTTGCTGCCTTTCTATAACCTCAAGAAATGATTAGATATTCTAGTCTTATGTAAGGGGTTTTGGCTTACTTCAGGATGTAATGGAATTCAGTAAATAAAGTTATGATGTTATAATTATCGTTTCAAAGCCTGTTGAACAATATTATAAGAAACATAGAGAATGACTTTGCCAGGGAGTTTGTAATATATTTGCAAAGTTTCTCTGTTAATCAGTTTGTAGCAATATGTATTTTATGTTGCTTTCTCCATTAGTTGTTCAAGGGTTATTTAGTATGCTTTATTGATAGTTTTTTTCTGTAACTTCATTCCTTTGGCTGATCAACAGATCACTGAAGATTTGGATTTCAAGCCTAAAGAGTTAAGAAGCACTGTTATAGACATGGCTTACAGCCTCATTGATGCTGGTTTTATCAAAAAGACAGCAAAATATCAGAAATCAAAGGAAAATTAGGAGTTTAAAGGAAGCTAAACAGTTATTGTTTGATGAGTTAATACAAGTGCAATTTTTTAATTTGGATTTTCATATCATACTAGGATAAAAATTCCATGCAGACTTGTTTAATGCATTGCCAAGCAATCAACTATTGATATGTAAATTTGCAGTCAGCTACTAAAGAAATGTAAAATAGGCATCACCAAACTCCTTTTAGCTAAATTATTATAATAAAACCTATGGTTATTTCTGAAAGAAATATGTCAAGAAATTTCAAAGGAAATAAATTTAAATTAACCACTACAATTTAAATTAATGTCACATTTGGTAGCCAGAGTGAAGACAAGTAATGAGAATCAGTTATCTCAATGCAAAGGATTTAACTTTATATAACCCTATAACTGGTTGCAAAAAATCTTGTTGAAGATATTTGGCCAAAAACTCCACCAGATGCTTACACAGTAAATAACTTGCATACACAAAATCCTCAAACAGAACTATATCTAAAAAACACTGTCAAACAAACACTGCCTCACAATTGCACTTATTTGCCTCTTGCTTGCAATCTTACAAATTTGAAATCTGTGGCCAGTTCAATCTTCTCAATATAAGTTGTTCATCTCAACACATTAATGAATGCTTTGATGAAAGCTGGATTGTAAAGATTTGTCTTCAACACAACTATTATAGGTGGTGCAAAATATTAAGGGCACACTGCACTGGGCAAATTCAACTGTCTCACCACAAGAAATTCTATTCAGAGATTTTTGTGGACTCGATCTATGTATACCAGTAATATACCTGGAAGAAGGCTTAAAATCCTTGTATATGAACTAATAGGAAACAGTGATATTTTTTTTAAGAAAGCTACCCCTCCGAAGTGTTCAAACTGGAATGGACTGTGCACTCAAAGGATCTTCAGATAATTAAAAAAAATTTTTTTAAATTAGTAATTGTAATCAAAATGCAATAATTATCAGTTAAATAGTTACAGATGATTCACTCTTGACTGTAGTCATAATAATATGTCTGGATGGCTTTGATCTTTAAGGGTGCTGATTGTACCCTTTGTTCTTTACTTGGCTTTCTGTCTGTTTTCCATTCAGCAGAATGCCAGTGTTTAATACTTAGGTAATGTGGTTCTGTATTTGTTTCCTGTGTTAGAAAAGTCCTGTTGCCTTTTTCTTCTTCTTTCATTATTTCAATCATTAGTTCCTCTTGGGAAGAGTCTGAAAAAATGCTTCTTGCACCTGAATCTAGAAATATAAATTAAACACAACAATAAAATGTTCCCTATGTAAATTAAATTAATTTTAAGGTTGAAATGTACCCCAGAAATTGTAGTTGAGGTCAGTTGAACTCAGTACTTAAGAAAAAAAATGAAACCAGTTGGCCAGAAAAACCATGCAACCCCCCCCATGCTACCCCCCCTGCCATTAATAATATCTGTTAGCAGAGTAAATTTATCCAAAAGAAGAATTTTAATTTGAGGGATTAGGACAATTAACCTGTGTGGGTGTTCCTTAGACAAACAGAGCATTGAATTTAAGAAAAAAAACTACAGATATTCTTTGACTTTACCACCACTTCACACAATTTACAGAGTGTAAAATTAATGTTGCACCAACAGCACAATGTAACTTCCATCATTATTACAAAAATAAACCATAAACTTACCATCAAACTCATTCCTTACGAAGAATGAGTTCAGATCAGGCTTGGGAATGTACACTCCTACCTTGGAGAGGGCGCGTGAGTCCACGTATCTTGCTCTGTAAATTAATTGTTTCAATCAATGGCTACAATTCATCAACAATAAAGATTCCCTTGGGAGTACCACAGGGATCCTACTAGGTGCCAGACTTTTTACCATCTTTACAAATGACCTCCCAAGCTGTTTAGATTCATCCAAATTATATAAAGAAACGTTTGACGACAACTCCACAGCTTTCGTGATTGATGACTCTGTTGATTCTATTGTTGTCCACATCTAAAAAGCACTGCAACAACTACACAGCTGGGCACAATTAAACTACATGTCTATTCACCCTATTAAAACGGAGATTATGCTAATATCCAAGACTCCCTTCATTGGACCTATTCCACCTACAACCATGGATAATCATCTGATCAACTGTATTTGTTTCTGTTTCTAAAGATTT